CGGCCCGGCCCGGAATTTTACAAGTATGCATTTTTCCTATTTCCCCTTCCTGAATTCGTGAAATTCAATGACCTAGAAGTTTTCAATTTCATTGAAAACAACTTTTCCATGAAATTGAAAATCCTCCAGACTTTTCTCGTTTTTCAAGAAATTCCATTTGCTCATAGGCTTTTATTTGACAGGAAATGGTTCGAATCAAAGACCAACAACTACAGTAACCTATCCGACCCAAAAACTACAAACTACAGTAACCTACCTTTCTAGGTTTGAACAGTTGCATTCTGATGAGAACTCTTCTAAAAAGTGCCGACAACTACAAAAAAGAATATGTCGGGTTGACGGTGATGGCCCACCGAACATTAAAAGAAAGAACTGTACAACTGTTTCTCTTTTCCTTCTTTTTCCATTTCTTTTTCTTCTTTTCGGGACAAGAGAGAAAGAAGAAGATACGAGCGTTTTCTTGTCCCTAATATATTACACTCTCCTTTTTAGTATTTCTTCTCTTCCCTCTATTCCTTACATATCTTTTTCTCTTTTTATTTAGTACTAATTAACTTAATTTGACACTAATACGTGTCTGATACTGGTGGTCGTTGTTAACAAAATTGAAATTGTTTCCGTTTTTGTAAGATAGTACCACTGGGTTACTGTAGTTATGGACAAAAAAGAAAGACATAGACATTCATGGAAATCGAATTACAGAGTAATTGCATTTATAGAATACTTTCGTTGAATATCAAACGAAATGTGTGTGTGTGTCATCGTTTGCAAGTTCCAGTTTCACTAGAAAACTTTCAAACCAAAAGTACCGTAAGTCCTCTAATAGAATCCCACTCAAACCACTACTTTAAGCTCAATTATCGCTATTCCTGTGAAAGTTATCAAAAACTTGTCAACTGATTAAATATTGGTGACATTGTGATAAATAATTTATCAGATGACAATTTTTTGATATCTTTCACAAGAATCGAGATAATTAAACTCAAAGTTGACGGTTCTAGTCGGCTTCTATTAGAAGAAATACGGTATTAATTTGAAAAACTCTCAGATGGAAGCATAATGTACAAAACCCTGAAAACTTTACGATAGGAACTTAAAACCTACCAGTGCACTTTTAGATCTTCGGGGACTGGGTTCGTTGGGTGGTGTTTCATTATCATCACTGGAATATTTCATTGTGCTCCACATTGGGGATAACAAGTTTTGATAACTAGAAGACATTGGAATAGTTATTGAACTATTTGTATCTGACATTGTCGACGCGAAACTTGTTCTTCGATCCGGAGGAGGTGAGGAGAGAAATCGAGAAGCAAAGGAGTTTCCGAAGAGAAACGCTCCGCCCCCTCGGAATTCAGGAGAGTTTTCATCGCTTCCTCCGCCGGGTACTTGAAGATAATGCATTCGTGGCTCCTCATTTTCACGAATATCACCCAAAGGGCTTGGAGATAAAAAGGGAGGACTTGGTGGATCTAGAGATATCCGGATATGTGATAATTGTTCGGATAGTCTTTTAAGACGTGGTGATCGTTGAGGTGATAGAGAAGTACGGTAGGTATATGAAGGTGTTGGTTGCATGCTGAATCGACGATGTGGATGTAGAGTAGATTTTGGTCTGAAATTGAAATTGGTTAGAAAGCTTGAATAGGGATAAGGAGATGAAGAAGCTTTGTTTGTGAAAGAGATAAAAGATCAGAAGAGTAGGTACACTTTTTTGATGAAGTATGAGTTCAAACTTTGGACTTCATAATTTCAACAGTAATCTATCACTCTCTAAAGATATTTTTAGAAGACAGCACTTCGAAAAGAAGAGAGAATTAAAGACCGCCAACTTTTAGCTCAATTATTTCCATTCCTGTGAGAGATATCCTAATTTTGTTAACAGATAAATTTTGAATGATATTATGATAAAAATGTTATCAGTTGACAATTTTTGATATCTTTCACAAGAATCGAGATAATCGAGTCCAAAGTTGATGATTCGGTGGTCTTCTATTAGAGGAAATACGGAATCTACACCTTGTTATCCCACATTATTCCTACCTTGTTCTTGGAACCTAAAAAATATGAAAAGTGCCAAGACCACACAACGTGTCTCACCCAGGAGGAAACCAATGAACCTCCAAGTAGAAAAAGAGTCATAAAAAATGCCAAAAAAGAATCCAGATTCTAATAGAGGTCTGAGCTATTACTATGCTGGCCTTACGCTTGAAATGAGCCCTGAGTCGAGTCTTTGAGAGAGAAAGAGCACTATTGCTTTTTTGCTTTTTTATTGGCTTTATTGCTTTTTTTTATTGCTTTTTTTATTGCTTTTTTTGAGCTGCTCTCACATGTGTCCCCTTCTCGTTGGGGCTCACCCTTTCCCATCTACAGCATATATTTCGTATTTCGAATCGCCGCCGAAGGAAACAGCGCTTTTCTTCGTCAAATCGAAACTCAATTTCCTGACTTTCTTGTTTGAATGTTGTTTTATTTTTTTTTATTCGGAAAAAACACACATCTATCGAACACGAGAGTTTTAGTCATCGTTTTTCGGTTTTCCAGAGACTAGAAGCCTTAAAAAAATAGATAAGGTGTTCTTATTGACCCTATTTCTACGGGACGTTCTACTTGATCTTCTCACTTTTCTCCTTTAAATTTGATATGGCATTGACTAATACGGAGTGAAGTATGGAACGCGTCACTTTTGATCTATTTTCTATTTTACAATTTTATGAGAAACTGAAGCTGAAAAAGAAAAATGTATGGGAAAGAGCAGATAACCGAGAAAATGTTTGATTAAAGTATAGAATTGCACCTGTCACATTGCGTAATGAAACACTGAAAACAAGTTAACACGAGCAGAAAATAATTGGAAAACCATCAGAGCGAAAAACGCAATTTTGTTCATCGATGAGTGTGAATCTTTTTCTAATTTTCTTGATATCTTGCGAACAAATACAAATCGGAAATAAGATGATTCCATCATACTTTCTTACAATTTAGTTGGAGCTATTTTTGAACGAAAAGGAAGACTCTTGAGATCAGAAACTCTGAAAGAGAGGAAGATAGGGGATCTGGGTCTTCAAGATTCTGAGGTTTTAGAGGTATTGAAAGAGAGTACCGCCCAGCAATAAATCTTTATAATTGTTACACAAAATTATCTAAAATGCCATCCGACGGATTACGTAACGAATTTTGAAATCTGTTTTTTCCTAGAATCTAATCACAAGAAGTAGGGTGTTCGATTGCTAACCGGAATTTTGGGATATGTCTAGATGAGTCATGAATGTCTAGAAAGATAGTTTTCATTACGGATCAAGATCACAGATGACGTAAGCAAAGCTTGCCGGATACTGTACTTAAAAACAATGAAGCTGAAGAACCAAAAAAAGACTTTTTAGGAACATTAAGAACAGAAGAGGAAAACTTTGAATCTGTCAACTTTACACATCGGGAGTCAGCAATTTTCGTGTCATTTTGAAATCTCAATATTATGTATTTGTCGGTTACTAGGAAAGATACATTCAAAATATCTCAACTGGCTCCAAACTTTATGTTATGTTGACAAACAATCCAGTTTTTTCCAAAATGTGGAAATTCGATAAAAAAGTGTTCTTCATAGAGTTAGCTCGAGCGATGCCGAAATATTGTGAACGATAACTGAAAGGAATGAGCAGCATATGGGGACGGATAAGCGATAAGGGATTAGATGGGCATCCACCAACGGATTCCTCACCAAGGATTAACTGTCCGGTGTTATTATTTCTTATCACTCTCATGTCCATCCATACTCTATCTAACATTGACGTAGAAGATTCGGTTACTATGCAACCAAATTTATGATCGAAAATGTCAGATTTCTGAGCATCCAGACCGAAAAATATATACAGAAAGAATTCATATTGCAAGGATCCCTTCATCCAGAAGGAAAAAATACGGTAAAGCCAGAAAAATATGCTTTAAATGACAGTTTCAACTGAAATCGGTAAACTTTGGATTTTTTTTCTATAGAAAAATGTACTTTTGTAATTACCGTAAAGCCTGTAATGAAGGGTTTGCTTATTGTCAAGTTGAGCTAATTTATCTCGGTTTCTGTAAAAGATATCAAAAAGATGTCAAATGATAAAACGATTTTGGTATTATGATAAACAATTTATCAGTTAACAGCTCCTTTATATCTTTCATAAGAATCAAAATAAATTGGCTCAAAGTTGAAACTTAGGATTCCTTCTATTACAAGGTTTACGGTAGGTTTTTTCTACATCGTTGTAAAATTTGATACTTTCTAATGGACCAGTATGGTAGAAAATATTCAAAATTTTCAACAAAAAAACTTTTACAGAATAAAAAAACCATTAACTGAAAATGCTCAAAATTCTGAAAAATTAGCGAAAAAAGAACTTGACCCAAAGAAGAAAAGCAAGACTTCTCTATTATTTCCGTTCACATCGAAAGTCAACCAGTAATCGGAAATTCAACGCACGCAAAACATAAAAAAAAACGACAGACAGAGGGAAACATATGTGAAGAGAGAGATTTTGTGAAAGGGGTTTTTTGCAGTGAATGACTATGTTTACATCTAGTTTGACAGCGATAAGTTGCTGACATAAAACTCACTTTTTGCATCCATTTTTCACTTTTTTCTTTTCCATTACCACTCCAAAGTTGAGCATTGGATTTCTAATGGAAACTGAAACTGATAAGTTCGGATTGATATAAAACCAAATAGAAATTAGTTGGCCGACAAGCCGTCCGAAAAGATTTGTGATGTGAATATGGAATTATAAATAAAACGAAAAAAATATTCTGATCCTCGTTTTCCGGTCCTCAACACACTCGCTATCCTTTTTTTCAGCTCATCACAAGGTTTGGCGTCCAGTGAAAAGCTTATCTTTTTCGATTTCCGATTTTGGTGGATTACTGAATAAGTTGGCTTTATGAAAAATGCCGAAAGGAGTGGATACGTTAAAAGTGAATTCTCCGTTTAAGTTCGTTCTGAACTTCTTTTAATGGCTCCAAATTCCGGAAATGAATGATTTGACAAAAGTATATGGCCGGCATTGAAATAAACCCCGATATTTTCTGATGGAGATTTTCTGATGAAGAAGACATCTGTTCCAGATGAGTGGCAATGAATTCATTCCAGATAACTCAAAATTAGTTAATTTGTTCTAAAGTTAGTTAATTTTTTTCGTTCAAAACAGTTTCTAAAATTATTTTATGAAACTTCAAGATACTTTTGGGTACCGTACTTCCTCTATAAGAAGCCCACCCAAACTGTTCTTTGAACTCCATTATCTCGATTCCTGTAAAAAGTATCAGAAATGTGTCAATTGATAAAGGATTCATCATAAGATCACCAGTATTTTATCAATTGAAAAATTTCTGATACCTATCACAGGAATCGCGATGATTGAGCTCAAGGTTTACGGTTTGGGTCGGCTTGTTATAGAGGAAATACGGTGGATGCCAAGTGAAAACTTCGGAATACAAAATTACAAGAAAATTAAAACTAAAAAAATTAAAAATTAAAAGTTGAGTATTCAAATTAATTTGAATTCTGATAAATACATTTATTAACATATAACAAGTAGTGATTTTCAAAAGTTTTAATTTTGGGAAAAACATTCCGAAAGTGTTAATATTTCTGTTATATTTGTTGAAAAAACACGTTGCTCCCAAAAACTTAACGGTCCATCTTTTGGGAGATTTAAAAGATTCTCGTCGCTCACAAAAATTTTTGAAATTTCAGTACTTTGATGTGAAAATTAAAACTTTTGAAATTCACTACTTGTTATATAATAAGTTTGTCCAATCTTCAAGTGAGTAAGAACTTGTCGATGTTGTTTTCCTGATATGAATCTGCAGAAGCGATTCTTTGAGCTGCAAAGGAAACATGGATTTGTCCTGAAATAGACCGTTCGGAGCAAGATTTCTTCGTTTATCCCAAGCTAACAAAGCCAATAGGTGGTCAGTGAGAGACTGTTCTCCTTCATTGAATCCATCTTTGAACTTCATCACGAGATTTTAAAAGTGCTCTTATGATTTTTCGACTATTTTTTTCGATGAGCCAATTACACAGAGCATCTATTTCTGTTGCAAAACAGCATCGTCATAATCCCGTGTTTTTTCGGGATATTTTGCAAGAAGTGCATTCGGAACATCAATTGGTACATGCGCATCTTTGCATTCAGTCACGTTAACCATTCATTTTATTGGTTCAACTACAACTTCGGGAGATGACATCAATTTTATTTCTCGGATTTTTTATTTTCTTATTTAGTGTTGTGGTATTTCTTCAAAAAGTTAGTTGAAATCATACAAGCATTTCCAGAGCTCTGATAAGAAAATGATTTTGATTTGGGGAAAACCTCAAACCTCAAAAAATGCAATAGTCAACAAAACGGTTGATTGGGATGAGTGTCTTAAAATTTGTTACGAATCAGCCACTTGTACAGTAGGTTTCAACGCTGTTTGTTTGGAAACCAAGAAAGTTTTAAGATGGCTTGGAATTCGAACGATTCGTGTACAATGTATAACTTTAATAGCATGAGCCCAGTGGTTAAAGGAAGTTCCAAAAATGGATCAGTAGTAGCATTCAAAGTTACGAGTCCTGAAAATCAATGTCCAGTTGGGCTCAATCCACCGACATTTGATAATCAGAATGCTACGGTATCTGATAAAATGTGTTAGTTTAAAAAAAAAGACAGATTTTCAGGGGCGCCTTTATGTGAACAACTACCCTCCAAGTTTTCCATATTACGTAAATTACACAATGTATTTCGATAACGGCATATGGAAAATGTCCTACATCCGTAAGAATGATGATACTGTTTTTAGACACTCAAAAGTTCTTTCAAGGTACCGATGGCTGTCGAAGAACATTCAATCATATAATTCAGTATTCGAATAACTCAGGCCTTTGTGTGTATGTGAGTGATAATTATCTCACAATCATATGAATAGATTTTATATTCAGATTTTATGGCTACTAACGATGGATCATTTGATTATGATCAAAGTTTGGAATTATGCAAAAGTGAAGATAATATCTAGCAGGTCTTGTGGAAAAAGAAGATTTCAAATGGTTTGAAAGTAAAAACAGTTTATTGAGAAACATATATCTGAGATATTTCTGTTCTAGATAAAGGACAAGAGTTGCGAAAATTGACTAAATCAAAAGACATATATGCTAGAATTGATGGAGTGCGTTACACGACATGTAGATCGAATCCAAAAACTGCTGACTGCAGATCTCCAAAGGTTTTGATATTGAATATTGTACCTCTTTGAGAGAATAAAATTCAGGGATTCAAATTCACGGGCCGAACGATTTCAAACTTCAATAACTACAAATGGGTTAGTAACTCTTCTGCTATGGCAACAAAAAACGATAACTGTCTGGTGATGGTATTCAAGGGAACCGGCTCAGTTAAAATAGATGTCCGAGGGTATTGGGAATCAGAAGATTAGTTTTTAAAACTGAAATTTCAGGTGCCCATATGATACAGCTCCACTGAAAACGCAGCTTGTATTCTGCTCAAGGAGGGCATGGTCGTTCCCCGATCTTCACTTCAACTAATGGTACAGGATACTTTTTGTACATAACTTTGTTCTAGATTTTGTTTTAGACTAGCTAACAATGTTATTTAATGTGTAAATAAAATTTTTTGACACACCTTCTATTATATTCCGAGTGATCTATTTGAAGCTAAACAAAAACGTCTTAAAAATGGGTTCTGACCGAAAAAGGTATCTATTTTCCTAATATCATTGCAAAAAATCGAAATTCCCGAAATTTTTTAAGGTGTTAACGTTTCTTTGATCGGAATCCCCGTTTAAGCAGCTTTTTATGCCTAGTTCCCAAATGTCACATTCTGCAAAAAAGTCTACCCATCATCGAGAGATATTGTGATGCTGCCAATGATGCGTTCAGTTGCACAATTCCTTTTTTTTTTTGACCCAATCGATTTTCATTGTTTTCTCTTTTGAAAATGCTGAATTTCTTGAACATACTTCTAGCTGCAACAGTCAAATATGTTGTAAGTGTAAGAATTTAAAAGAGATAGTTTGATTCTTCTCCAGAATTCTGATAACACGATGGTAATTGTTTGGGGAAAACCAACTTCCTTTTACAACCCAACTCCATATGTGAATACTACTCTTAACTGGATACAATGCGTTCAGGAATGTTATAATTTCGAGAGATGCGTGGTTAGTTTTTTGGACACCTATCAGAACTTGTGAGTAGAATAGTTTTCAGTTGGCATACCAGAATTCAACAGGGTGTAACCTATACGTTTTTAATGGAATGCCATCTGTAAAAAAGACCAATTCAACTCAAGATTTTCAAGTTGCATTCAAAGTACAGGGCTTTGCAGATACTTGTCCAGTTGGCACCAATCCGCCAACTTTTAATAATAAAAACGCGTCGGTGAGATAGTTGACTAACATAAAACAGTAATAAAATACCAAATCACGGAGTAATATCGATATTCAGGGCTACCTTTATGTCACTGATAATGTTTACTATCCTCAAAAAGTATGGTACAATATTAGTTTATCTGGATCCTCTTGGAAATTAACGTATACAAGTTGGTTCTAATACAAAAATCTTGAATCGAAACTAATCTACTTTTTCAGCATCATCTCTCTGCCCATCTAATTATAACACTTACGTAACCTATGCGGATGGTAGACAGAATTGCGTTATAGTATGTTATAGTATCCGTATCATACATTCCTGAAACAACTAATTTCAGATATTGTGGTCGAATATGACAGTAGGAGGATATCAGAACGTTAGTGACACTACTTGCAAACAGTTTGGTGGAACATTGCCTACATTGAATTTTCCAATAGATGTCGATGTGTTCACATGTAGTTAAATAGGTCTATGTATATATCAATGTAGTTGAATTTCAGACCTTGCGAACTTGTATCGTAACAATTTTGCGTCAAGTGAGTTTTATATAAGAATCGATGGCGTAAGAACTAAATCCTGTCAAAGTAATCCGAATTCAACTGAATGTCTGACTCCAGAGGTAAGTGGTATTTTTTTCCGACATTCCAATGCAGAAGTTTAGGGATTCACATTCACCGATCCAAGCTTTCTGAACAGCTTTCAACAGTATGACTGGGTCACAAATGCTGGCGCCAAAGAGGAAAGTGATGATAATTGTCTTGTTCTTGTTTACCCAAACACTACCAAATTTATGCAAGTAGATGTTAGAAGGTAATGGAGATTGTCAAGGTATTGGAATAATAAAACATTTCAGTTGTACAACAAAAGGAACTATTCAAGCTCTTGGAATGTTATGTGCTAAGCCCGCGTTTACCTAATAGATCATGTAACAAAAGGGAACCCTGACCGTCTACCCAATTACCATGAAAACCTGTAAAATAAAAGCCTCCTGACTTGCAACTTTGAGCCAATTCATCTCGATTCATGTCAAAGGTATAAAAAAGTTGTCAACTGATAAATTACTTATCATAATATCAGAAATGTTTGTCAGTTGAAATTTTTCGATTTCTTGCATAGGAGCCAAAAAAAATTAGCTCAAAATTGACACAGTTACGGGGGCCTTCCATTGAAGATTTTCTGTACGTTGTTAATTTGACTTCTCCAATTTCGAAAACCATATTTTCCAATTTGATGTACATAAAGTTTTTATTATTTTCTATCAGAGTCCAATTCTCTGACGTGCAGGGAAATACTCCTGCGAAACTGAATGACTCCTGCAAAACAAAACTGAATGCCTCCTGCAAAACTGAATGGTGCTGATGTTTATAAAAATCTTCTCAAGCTCATCATTTTCCCTGACGTGCTCACCCTTTCCCTGACGTGCTCACTCATTCTTCTTTTTGTTTCTGAACGCACATTGAAGACACACTTTTTAAATCCAAAACAATTTTAGATGTTGCTGACACAATTTCTACTCTTCGGTCATGTGGTAATCAAAATTATAAATAGTTCCTTCAAAGAGTAAAGATTCAGACATGCGAGCTAACAATGATGGTGGTCTGTGGCAAACCAAATGCCGTGTTCAACTCAGACTCTTATCCCAGTACAAACTGGACTCAATGTATTCAGAAATGTTATGAATCTCAAACATGTGTAGTTGGTTAGATGAAAGTGTCCGATTCAGTTTCAGGTGTTTTAGATGACGTGGCAAAATTTTGGATGTCTCAATTATGATTACAGTGCGGCGATAGATGTTACGAAAACGAATGCTACAGACGGTTCTATTGTTGCCTTTAAAGTGGACACTGAGGATAGAAAGTGCCCATCTGGAGCTAATCCACCAACGTTCGATAATCAAAATGCAACAGTAATTTAATTTTATATTCCCAGAGTCGAAACTATGTAGCTGACTCATTTTTATCAATTTTTCAAGACCTGTTTCGCTGTTTTAAATGTTTTTTTCCTTTTGAATATTTTTCAGGGATCCCTTAACGTTGATTATGACACAAACTTCTTTCCGAAATGTGTATACTATACAATTTATGAAAAGGGCAATACTTGGCAGATATCTTATACATGTAAATTTTAAACTCGAAACACTTCCACATAATTTGTTTTCAGTGAACAATAGTTGCACTTCTGATTTCATTGATATTGTGGAACGCTCTGATGGTACCTCAATATGCGTCACAGTATGTAAATTCTCTTTAGAAAAAAAATAGGCATTTTTCAAGGGATACTTCAACAATAAAACGAATTCCAATGGTTACAGCTATGAAAACGCTGTAGAATACTGTGGTGACATGTCTACTTATCCAACAGGCGTCTGGTATCCAGAGGACGCGTTGTTCTTACCAAGCCAGTTATATTAATGTTTTGATTTTTGTGACATAGTAGTTTGTAGAATTGGCACAACGAATGAGAAAATATCTGGCTTCAAATGATACGTATGTTCGAATAGATGGAATCCGCACACCAGAATGTCAATAAACTCTTAGTTTCGCAGAATGTATGACAGTTAAGGTGAGTTATGGCGACTATCCACAAATATTAAAAAAACACCAATTTCAGGGATTCACATTCACTGGGCCACCAGTTGAAAACTTTGAAAATTATAATTGGGTCACAGATCCATCCGCTCAGGAAACGCCAGATGACAACTGTATCATTTTGGTTGCGAATGGCTCCAACCCTATACAAATGGACGTTCGGAGGTATACAAACGGTTCAGAAGTACAAAAGCTAATACATTTGCAGTTGCTTGTCTACTGGATCTCAATTGCCAACAAGGCTCATATTTTGTTCCTGTCCAGCATGGATATTTTGAAATAGTCAAAGTGAAATTAATTAATTAAATTATTAATTCAAGTTAATTTATTCCTCTTTATCTGAATTTGAATCATCTAAAATTGCTACAGAAATAATTTTAAAAAACGCATTGAGTTAGGAAAATACCTACTTTTCAAACATTTTTGGGCAATAAAAGATTTCACCATACACTATCTTTAATTAATCATTATCTACAACTGAATCATCTGACATTGCTACCAAAATAATCATCCAAAATATTGACATACACTTCAGAGTTGTTTCACCACTTCTCCCAAAAATAAATAGATGTTGTTAGTCATTGTTTTTGCTACTTGCTCTTTTTTTTCACAAAAGGGAACAGTACACCGTTCCTGAAACACACTGAAATAACTATCCAGTCCACACTGTTCCAAATCCACTCAAGAGAATCTCAAGAGAAACCTGAAAACTGTGTGTCGGATCACACGTCAGTCCCCCATCCAAAAAGTGTCCAAGCACAGAGAGCACATGACTGATTGCGGCATCTCATTCAAGAGCAAACAGCCGGATGAAATCTCTTTCTTCCTCTATCTATTTCCTCTTGTTCTTCTTCGATTTCTCTGCGTACTCTAGCCAATTTTTATACGAATTATTACATCTCGTCTCGGGGTTTTCCTTGAGATCTTTCTCTTCGTCAATCTTCCACTGTTTTTTGTAAGTAACACGTACACTTTACTCTGTTCCCTTGTCCATTCGGTTGGTTCAAAATGGCCGTTCCTCGTCGTCCGAATGTTCAATCTATGAGAAAATTGTTAGATGCTAAAACGGAAAACGAGAAAGAAGTCGAGAGTAAAGATTCATCAGTTCCAAGTTTGGCTGAAATTTGCTTGAGTTCAATATCTACAACTCTCTTTCGGGTGAGCTTCTAGGTTTATATTTTAATTATATATACTGTCAACTTTGAGCTCAATTATTGTAGTTCCTACGATAGATATTAAAAATGTGTCATTTGATACAATTTTGTGATGTTATGATAAACAATTTATCATTTAACAACTTTTTTATATCTTTGACAGAAACCGAGATAAATTGGCTCAAAGTAAAAAGTTATCGCGCCATTCTATTAGAGGTTTTACAGTAACTGTTTCAGAATAAAATTCGATGGAGAAAACTAACCGATTTGGCTTTCGAATACAGATATGTGTCAGAAGACAGAAATATTCCTAAACCAATTCAAAATATTCTTTGTGAATCGATGGACGATGTTCTGGCAGAAGCTAAAAGATGGAGTAAGTCAACCGACCAGTTTCTAGAAGATTCCTATATTTTTCAGATGCGAAACATTTGGAAATGTTCGTAGAACCGGCAAAAAGCAGACGACGTGTACTTCCAAAGAGCGAACTTCTCCGAACTTTCTATCCAGAACTCGTCTGGAAACGTCACAGGTTTGAGATCTCACTTGGGACTGACCTCTGTAATTGTCAGCTGTTGACTTTTTCCTTTCAGTTGTGAGATAGACGATGTGGCCACATGCTTACATTTGATTAAAACTGAATGCAAGAATTGGCCATTGATGCAGTTTCAGTTTGCTTGTCTTTATGCCAGAACGGAGTTAATTTATGATGACTGGAAGTTTGATAACTACAGATTGTCTTGTTTCAGGTGAGAGTTATTTTCGAATGGAAGAATCATGTGGACCATCATTGTTTTCAGAAAACAAGTAGGTGACCATCCAGTGTATGATTTCTGGCTGACTATGATGGCCACAATCAACAAAGACCGACACTTCTTCGGAAGTTCAATTCGACTTCCAAATCAAAAAGTTGCGCAATGTTTTCTTTTTGCAATTCGAAATGGATACTTACAACTGGTGGAATATATTTGGGGTCAGTTAACAGACAGTCATCGAGAAGCAATTGGAATGATTGAATGGAGAAATATGTGTTATCGAACAAGAGATGGAGAAGCAATCAGTTTCTTGTGTAAACATTTGTGTAGAATGAATCCTGTTGGAACTTGTAGAAATGCTTGGCAACCGTTTTTCGACGCATTTCAGCATTTGGTTCATGTAAGTAATTAACTTCTATTTGGGTTCGAATTTCTGTGTTTTTTCAGGACGAGAAAAGTGATCATTTGGAGAGAAATCAGTACAGACGAAAGTTTGAATTTCTGCTCAAACATTGTTGTCCAATCTTGCGAACTCGATTAGTCAAATTTCACCATTTCAGGTGAGTAACAGATCTGATGTAGACAATAAACGAATTTAAAATAATTTCAGATTGATCTGTGATGCTTTTCGTTACAACGAGCATGAGATATTCTCTCTTTTACTCCAGAATATGAGTCCAGATGACATTGCATCCGCCCGAGAACATATCGATCGTATTTTTGATCGAAACAAAACGAAAACTGGAGATCGTCTTCGAAGAACACTTATGAGAAGACAACAAACAATTCAATAATATTTGATCTGAAAATGGGTAGAACATAACACTGAAAAAAGAGTGTAGTGCATATAAAATAAATTATTTTTTTACTCACTATCGTTCTAGAGTTCCTTCAGATTCAGAAGGCAAAAATAGTTTTAGGGGAGGGGGATAATTGATTTATCCGCGGATGGAGGGGGTGTGATTTTTGCACTTGTTTTTTGGTTTGTGGATTACAAGCCAATTCGATTTCCGTTGTTGTATGACATATTCTATCCCTAAAAAGTAAAAAATCTGATGATAGTAGCATTCCACCAAGTTATGCAGTTCGGAGATGTCAGGAAGGGAAATGTTTGAACTTGGAAGTCGGAAGTCCGATGCAGATTTTATTTCCAAAGTGAAAAAATACCCGGAATTCGCAAGTCGTTATTACTGAAATCTCTGATACAGTCTCACAACCCATAATGAAAAACTTTTTTCCATGATTTGTGCCTCACGTCTTTTCTATCTGTAGAGTCTTTTACTAGTCAGAGAGACAAATTTAATTTTCCAAACCGCATACTAGGGATCAAACGGAAGTACGAAAAGTTCTAGTTAGTTCGTTTTTTGATCTATAATTATCAGTTCAGCCCCCTGTCACCTGCACAACCAATAACTCAATTCTATCCCACTCACAGAAGAAAAGCTCTGGTCTTTTGGGTTATAGTTTCTTATTAGTTGGTTATTGTTTCTTCATTGCAGCTTTTCTTTTTCATTTCCTCAGATGGCTTCTCAATTTCTTTCATTTTCAAAGACGAATTATCAGTTTCTACCGGACAATGAAAGCTATTATGAGTTCTATAAAGAGCAGGAGGAACTGAATGGTTATTATAAAACCCTGTGTCATTTTACTCCCTTTTTCACCATCCCAATATATGCTGAAGCTTTTTATTGCATCGTTTACAAGTGTAAACAATTCAGCCCAAAGTATGTGCAATTATTAACAGTTCATACATTCTTGTGAGTCTCAATTAAAATAATTCCCATTTGAAAATCAAAGTTTTTAGGCATTTATTTGCTGAAGTATACTGGACTGTGCTTCTTCTTCCTTGTGTAAATCTTCCAACTATTGGAGTTTCAGCCGAAGGTTTTTTGAGTGTTCTGAAAGTATCTGCCAGCTGGCAAATATTTTTCATGTGTGGACTTTTGCAAATTGGTACTGCAACAATGATCCACTTGTTGATATATCGGCTAAAATTTGCTGTTCCTTCTCATGCTGCAAATAGTCAATGCGTCAAATTTAGTGCTGTTGCTGCAAACCTTTTCTACTATTGCACGGCTATTCTCTGTACATGTGCTCTGGGATTCATGGATGAAGATCAGTTGGTGGCTAAAAACAGAATTCTGAAGGTTTATCTTTTCTGAAGTTCCTTTTAAAAATAACCATTCACAGAAGTATCTCGTACCTCATCCGAATCTTTGGGATGTTCGGTTTGTGTCAACTGATAAAGAAAATCCAACATTCTTGTACTATTTGTACATAACTGTTGGGGAAATAACAATTCTTATAATCAATATTATAGCAGTTCCTACCATTTCATTTCATTACCTCTCAGCAAATCGAACAGAAAAGTCTGATCGATTGGCCAGAGCTCACAGGCAAACACTACAAGTTTTGGTTTTCCAGGTATCAAGGATTAAGAGATTGAGGTTAAAAAACAAACTTCCAGCTTGCAATTCACTGCTTATTTCATTTACTCCCGTTGATTTGCTTTACAATTTCTGCAATTTTTAGAATAAAAAACGTTTTTGTGCTCTCAGTTGGAGCGTATATCTGGGCATTGCACGGAGCAGCATGTACGCTTGCTCTGATTCTTGCCAATAAGCCATTCAGAATCACAGTCAAAGAACATCTGAAATACGGTACGACTTTACCAACACAGTTTTAATTATGATGGCTATTTCAGTTTTCTGCTGCTTATGTTGTGAACCAGCAACCAAACAGCCAAGCATCGGATTACGACGAGAATCCACAGTGATTCAAAAAATTGATATTTCTAACTGACTCTTTTTTGAAAATAAATGATTTTTCTGGTTTAAATTTATTTACTGTGTAGTACAAATTAAATCGAAAATCTCAGCAAATGTTAGACACATGTACCCACATGTACCCCTACTTAGGGCACCGGTTCCAATGTTGCTGCATCAAGGCAATCGTGGTCGAGGGGTAGGGGCGCACATGTATACCGTTACAATAAACGAAGTTGAGAGAATTTCAGATTGATCTGTGATGCTTTTCGTTACAACGAACATGAGATATTCTTGCTGTTACTCCAGAATATGAGGCCAGATGACATTGCATCCGCCCGAGAACATATCGATCGTATTTTTGATCGAAACAAAAAAAAACTGGAGATCGCGTTCGAAGAACACTCATGAGAAGGCAGCAAAAAATTCAATAATATTTGGTCTGAAAATGGGTAGAACATAACACTGAAAAAAGAGTGTAGTGCATATAAAATAAATTATTTTTTAACTCACTTTCGTTCTTGAGTTCCTTCAGATTCAGAAGGCAAAAATAGTCTTTGTGGAAGGGGATAATTGATTTATCCGCAGGTAGCAGTGGTGTGATTTTTTTCGCTTTTTGGTCTGTGGAGTATTAGCTAATTCGATTATAGAACTACTTGTTATGGGAGGTATCCGACAGAATCATACAGTATATGTAGAGGTGTCGGGAAGAGAACTTTTCATTAATTTTCCTTAATTTGGGTCTCGCGCCTCCCCTATCTTTAGAGTCTTTAACAATTAGAGAGGCAATCTATGAGAAGCAAGTCTCAAATACAATTCTTTGTGTAAACTTTTACTGACTCGTGAGACATTAAGTTTTTCTATCGCAGACTAGGGATCAAATGGAAGTATGAAAAGTTCTGGTTACCCCGTTTTCTGATCTATAATTATCAGTTCAGCCCCTGTCACCTGCATAACCAATAACTCAATTCTATCCCACTCACAGTAGAAAAATTCTAGTCCTTCGGTGAGCTGTTTTTTTCTTCGTCGCATTTTTTTATTGCTCCTAATGGCTTCTTCATTCCTACCGGACAATGAAAGCTATTATGAGTTCTATAAAGAGCAGGAGGAACTGAATGGTTATTATAAAACCCTGTGTCATTTTACTCCCTTTTTCACCATCCCAATATATGCTGAAGCTTTTTATTGCATCGTTTACAAGTGTAAACAATTCAACTCGAAATATGTACAGATATTGAAAGTTCATACATTCTTGTGTGTCTAAATCAACATGATTGCCATTTGACGATCAAAATTTTTTAGACATTTCTTGGCCGAAATATACTGGACCGTGCTTCTTCTTCCTGTCATTTGTCTTCGAAGTATTGGAGTTTCAGCCGAAGGTTTTTTGAGTGTTTTGAAAGTATCTGCAAGCTGGCAAATATTTGTCATGTGTGGACTTTTACAAATCAGCACCGCAACAATGATCCATCTGTTGATATATCGGCTGAAATTCGCTGTTCCTCCTGATGCTGCAAATAGTCAATGCGTCAAATTTAGCGCTGATTCTGCAAACTTTCTCTACTACTGCACCGCGATTTTCTGTACATGTGCTTTTGGATTAATGGATGAAGACCAATTGGTTGCTAAGAACAGAATTCTTAAGGTTTAGTTTTCTGATGTTTCTTTAAAAATATTAAGTCACAGAAGTTTCTCGTTCCTCATCCAAATCTTTGGGATGTACGGTTTGTGTCAACTGATAGAGAAAATCCAAACTTCTTGTACTATTTGTACATAACTATTGGAGAAATAACAATTCTTATAATCAATATTATAGCAGTTCCGACCATTTGATTTCATTATCTCTCAGCGAATCGAACAGAAAAGTCTGATCAATTGGCCAGAGCTCACAGGCAAACACTACAAGTTTTGGTTTTCCAGGTATCAAAAAAGAAAGTAATCGCGAGTGTTAAAAAAATTACAGTTTGCCATTCACTGCATATTTCATTTACTTCCTTTAATTTGCTTTACATATTCTGCTATTTTTCGAACAAAAAATATAGTCATGCTCTCAGTCGGAATGTACATCTGGGCATTGCACGGAGCAGCATGAACGCTTGCTCTGATTCTTGCCAATAAGCCATTCAGAATCACTGTCAAAGAACATTTGAAATACGGTACGACTTTACCAACATAGTTTTAATTATGATTGTTATTTCAGTTTTCTGCTGCTTATGTTGTAAACCATCAACCAAACAGCCAAGCATCGGATTACGACGAGAGTCCACAGTTATTCAAAAAATTGATTTTTTTAACTAATTTTTTACAAATGAATGATTTTTCTGATTACTGTTTTATTTGATTACTTTTAAATAAAAAGTTGATCAGAAGAAAAAACTGATCAAACATCATTCTAGTCGTTTTGTAGCCAGCTCAGTCAGTTATTTTCCCTGTGTCAGCTGATATCCAAGCACTGCCAGATAATTCAATCACTTCCCACTCGCACTGCTATAAAATGTCAATTTTTTAAAGCTGGCATCAAACTTCTCGTTTCGGTTTTATCCGAAATGTCAGAGAACTTCTTGCCTGATAACAGAAGTTACTATACTTTTTACAAAGAGCAGACAACCTGGAACAACTATTATAAGTATGCATGTCACTTCATTCCATTATTTACTGTTCCAATTTACGCTGAAGCACTTTACTGTATTCTTTACAAATGCAAACCGCTCAGCCCGAAATATGTCGCTATGCTACAATTAAATATGTTTTTGTAAGTCTTTTAAACTTCATTAGAATTCCAACTTAATGTTTTCAGTCATTTTCTCGGAGAAGTATTTTGGTCAACTATGCTCGTACCGGTTATTGTTCTTCCATGTGTTGGCCTGTCAGTTGAGGGATTATGGAGTGTGCTACATATTCCAGGCAAGTACCAGATCTTCATAGTGGTGGCAATTTTACAATTTAATACTGCTACAATTACTCATCTTCTCATTTATCGTCTGAAATTCGCTATTCCACCGGATGCTAAGTATAGAAAATATGTCAAACTCAGCGCTGACGTTGCGAAAATATTCATTTACTTCACAGTAATTTTTTGTACTTGTGCATTTAGTTTGTTGAACGAAGACCAAGGGTCTTTGAAGAACAGAATCATGCAGGTCAGTTGAATTCAATTCAACGTTATACATACACTTCATCATACTTGTAAAATTCCGGGCCGGCCCGCCAAAGCCCGGGCCGGGCCTGAGGAAAAGTTCGAGGCCCGGGACCGGCAGCAAAAATTTTGTCATTTTGAACCGAATTTTGAGCTCTCAATACAGTTTTCTATATTTTTTGTGCTTTTTGGATTGTTTGTCTGTTTGACCAAAAAACATTTAAAAAAACTCGAAAAACATTTATTGATCGAAAAAAATCACATAAAAAATCACCCTTATGTGTTTTTTGAAATTTTCAAAACTTGTGGAATGACAGGTCCGCCGGGCCGGGCCGAGCCGGGCCTCCGAAATTCGGGAAAAATCCCGGCCCGGCCCGTTACAAGTATGCACTTCATCCGGTTTCAGAAGTTTTTGGTACCTCCACCCAACTTATGGGACGATCGATATGTCTTAACTGATAGAGATAGGGCGAACTTTCAATTATTTCTGTATATTACTATTGGAGAAATTGTAGTCTTTGTAGCCAACATCATAATTATTCCAATTATTGCATTTCATTATCTTTCTGCTCATCGAACAGAAAAATCTGATAGATTAGCCAAAGCTCACAAGAAGACTCTTCAAGTTTTAATTTTCCAGGTATTTAATCTGATTTTAGACTTTCGATAGTATACTAGTTTCAGTTAGCAATCTACTGTCTATTTCATCTTTTACCCATGGTTTGCTTGACTTGTTCAGCTATATCCGAAGCGAGAAATGTAATTTTTCTTTCATTAGGAATGCTTATTTGGGCATTGCACGGATCAGCATATACTCTTACTTTGATTCTTGCGAACAAACCGTTACATTTGGAATACGGTATGGGTCAAATTGGTTTCTATATAGATCAAAATGTTTTCAGTTTTCTGTTGTATACTCTGCAATTTTTCACCAAAAACTCCAAACATCGGGAGACGAAGAGAGTCAAGTGTTATTCAGAAAATTGATTTTCCAACTTAAAATTAAATGGCGATGATTTCTGATTGTAAGATCCTTCGAACTCAGTCAAATATAAATTTTAGGTTTCATTATCTTGTTCATACGACTGCCTAAAAACATCAGATCAATCAGTTATTATTTCGATAAATGCAATTTGATATGAAACTTTGTGGTAACCTCCAAAGCTTAAAAAATATTTTATATGCACAATCCAGTTTTCTTATCACATTTCTTGCTCTCGCACTTTGAACATGGTTGTCCTTCCAGATAAATCGGTTCGTTCAAGTAATTTCCTCTGAAATGATAAGTAAATAAAAACTGCAACTTCAAAATCTTACTTTGGCCAATAATGGCAAACAACACAAATCTTTGTGATCGGTCTTCCAGTTTTCTTATGGATATCTTTGAAAGTTGCAACAGAGCAACCTATCTGATAAGTGTCCGCCCATACCATCTACCTCAAAGTGTTCGTATACTTTCAAAGGAAAAGTTACTGAAAATACCTGTGTTGCATGCCCGACTCCGCTTCCGAACAGATCATTTGTCAGAATATTTGAATCCCAATACTTTTCATGAAACTCGTGAATCCATGAGCCAGCTGCTAGTGAGCCATAATTATTGAAATCTCCTGGTTTTGTTGACCAATGCCAAAAAAGGTTTTCTCCAATGTCATTGATGTTTGAATGTTTTGATGGATTGGTTCGGGCGAATGAATCAGCTGATTTTTCAAGAGTGTTATTCCATTCGAACCGTCGAATATTTGAACCAGCAGCTCTTTTTGTATGTCTTTTTGTGACAAAATTGCCAAGTGCTAGTTGAGACCTGACAGTTTTAAAGAATGTTAGAAATTTGCAAAAATGAATGCTTGCTGAAATTGAACCTGATATCATTATGATGATCCAGTACTTCTTTCTTTCCTTTTGAACTGAAATTCGCATCAATTTGTCGACTGAACGATACAATCAGAAAGAATAAAAACAGGAATCTTCCTGTGAAGGAATAAAGTTTGATGCAACGCATCTCTCGAAATCATAAAATATGAGTCGACTTTGTCTTTTATATGTGCGGAGGACGCTTCTTCATTTTTAAATGGCTCTTTTTGAGCGAACTGTAAAACTAAAGGGTTTCGGGCGAGCGCAGCTTCAGTGATTCTAGAATCTGCTGACTCTAGAAGAAAAAAGGTACAAGAAATCGAATTTTCGAATTCAGAAACATTCGAGGGCTCACTATCACCATTTTTTATATTCCGTAAAAATTTTGATGAATGGGTCTCCAACTTTAAACTTTGCCCCGATTTTTCTGGGTTCCTATCAATAATACAAAGATTGATAAATTGTTTATTGTAACATCAGAAATGTTTTCTCAGTTGACACATGTTTCATATCTTGTATAGGAATTGAGATAATTAGGCTCAAACTTGACACTGTCGGGATTTCTGTGTATTTGAAATTCTGGATTTGAATAATTTTCAATATTCTTTATTTTGACTACTAATAATATTTGTTTAGAAAATGAAACGAGAATTAGATGCAAACAATTCATTAAAATTATACAATTAATGATGCCAACCATTGGGTTGAGGGTTATAACGGTAGTTTTTGCATACGCCATTCTTGCAGTAAGGAACTTCGAGCTCCATCTTTATGTGCCTGCAGTCGTCGTGGGAAATGCACTTGGTTCCATGCTGATGGATACCACTGCCACGTGGATACTTGGTCGTTGTGCGATTCACTTTTGGACGGGGAAAATCGTCGTCAGCTGGGCACGGAGGAATAATACAAGCTTCCATTTGAAGAGCCATGGCGAGGAGGAAAATTAAAGGGATGAGAATACGCATTGCTGGACGAAATTCAGCGAATGATGATTTTATGATACCTGTAGAATCCTTTTATACAAATATTTTCAACGGTGACAATGTTTCCCATGTGGGCGGTTTAAGAATCTGGAAATATAAATATGAACGATGAACGATCTGAAAAAAAGCCGATGGGAATTGTGCTTGAATTGCAGAAACGTACTCACGGACGAAAAAAGTCGGAGCTGTGGGATAAAACACACAAAAATCAAGATAAGAAATTCGGAAAATAAAAATATGTTTAGGTTACGGTAGTTGTCTTCGGCCACGGCCTAGCGTTTCTCTTCCACAGATCCTATTTTCTTTAACAGAATAATAGTCTGTTCATCGTTATAAGTTTCTAATACCCCCAAACTCTAAAGCTTTTGACTCATCAATTCTTCTCTTAAAATTCGAAAGTTTCCTCATCTGCAAAAGTTTTCTAATGTTTTCAATTAAAAAGTGACGAATTCCTCAAAAAATGTTTTTCGATCTCTGTTTGCACTGCAACAAAATGAATGAAAAAATCTTCATTAGTTCAATTACTTTTGTTTTGTTTTTCGTGTAATGTGAATCATCCAAAAAACACTATAGTATACAGAATACCCGTTTAAAATTCGACAAAATCGGGAAGAAATATGGCTAATTGCTACTCGAGAAACGCATTCGTATGGGATGTTGAACAGGGAAATTTGAAGGGGAAATCAGAAATGAGAAAAATTGAAATAATAAGTCTTTGGTCTTTTTAGAAATTTGGGGTTTTTTTTGTAAAAGCTGAAATACCCGAGATTTGGTGTCACTATTTGCACAACAAAAAATGATAATCGAGGGAAATTAAAAAGAAGAAATGAGCAATCAATCTTCTGTGACTACTGTTGTTTCTTCTTCTTCAATTGTATTCAGATGTTCTTCTTCTGAAGACGTCGGGATTTCTATTGCAATTTCATTTGCAACTTCATCCTTTGCTTCTTCGGATTCTATTTTTCTGCGACCACACTCTCGATTTCAATTCGTGTCGCTTCTTCATAAGTTGGTGGATTTTGAGATTCTGTTGTATTTAGATCATCAACTGATGTATAACTCGGAGGAGGAGTTGCCAGACGGTGTACTCTTCTGAAAAAGAATTATTTTTTGAAATTCTGACTCTCCTGAACGCTTACGGTGTAGTACTAGACATGGAAACTCTTCCAGGTGCTACAATCAACGCTCGATCCCTAGGAACCCATGATCCTCCACACATATAGTCATGTCTGCATCTGAAACCAGTTATAGAGTTCTTATTCTGAATATTGACCTCACCTGAATGGTCTGTTGTTGTTTGGATGGAATACTCTGTACCAAGTCTCTTCTGCCACCGGATTCATAGCAGATCTACGACGATGAGCTCCGACGCACAGTAATCCAATAGTTATGATACAAAAGGAAAGACCAGAAAGCGTCAATCGAGAATTAACTGATCCTCTTTTACGGATCACTTCATCACATTGCATACTTGGTACAGAACCATCACAAATTGTGCATGCAGGTCCGGTGAAACCATCATAGCATACACATTTTCCGTCGAAAAAGTGTCCATTGATACACTTTTGAATTGTACAAGGGCGTCCGAAAAGACATTCACAGAGACCTGAAAAACGGAATTGTTGATCCCTTTCATTACTTTTTGAATGAGTTTTTGGCTCATCTCCTTCCTTTACTCATTTCCTGTGCACGACGCAAAAAAATGAAGAAGGGACGTGCCTTTTAGAAATAAAAACTTTGGTTTATTTCCCTAAAGAGCCACTTTCTGAATATGTCACATAAAAAATTCAGAATGTTGACATCAAAATTATCGGGGGAAAAAGAGAAGAAGAAGGAGAAATGTGTTTTCCGAGGAAGACAACTCCTTAAGTGCATACATCCAGATTTATGACATCCTGAAAGAGCAATGAGATCTTATAAGACGGAAAAGTTAGAATCAGAAAATGTGAAATTGTCTGGTACTCTAATCAATTTGTTTTTACTATACGGATAAATCAGAAAACATTTGTTATGTGATGTAGCAAGTCTAAGCGTATGCAGTAATACCTGTTATAAAAGGGCTCCCGCACTGAGAAGTTGAAGCTAATTTTTCTCGGCTCCTATACAACATAACAAAAATATGTCATCTGATAAAATGTTTGGAATATTATGATAAACAATTTATCAGTGGACATCTTTTAAATATCTTTGACATGAACCGAGATAAATTGTCTCAAAGTTAAAAGTTAGGGCTCTTCTATTACAGGTTTTATGGTACGTTCCCTCTTGATGAATATCCAAAGCGATTTAAGAGAACACTCACAGAAAAGCTAAAACGCTTCTCCAGCGGGTAAAAGCAACCGTGCTCAATAGAGCGTTAAAATAGACGCGATTTCGTAGGTCAACGGAACTGAGTCACTCCCAAAACTCACCAGAAGTCTTGTTTACAACTCCAGAATTGCATCGGAAGATACAGTGCTCTCCGACCCAATTCGAAGTGCAGACACATCTTCCGAGAGTGAAATTGAAATATCCATCGTTCATACAGACAGGCGTTTCACATTTATCTCCGGTATACCAACGAGTACATAGACATGATCCATCGGTTTCGTTCGTCATTCCTCCATGTCTGCATGGATCGAATCCGGTGATGATTTCATCTGAAAATTGGAAATTCGACTATTGTGGTAATAAAGAACAAAATGGGGTTACCAGAAGAAGGATTCTTATAAATTTCCTGCCAATCTACTTGTGCTTGTCCCTTCATTGCGTACTCTGTATGTGCATCATTCACCATCATTCCATTGTTAGCCTGAAGAAAAAGAAGAAAAAACATCTCATTCATTTCTTTCTCTCTTTCTCACCAAATGCGGAGGCGTCGTGGGCATTAATGAAAGTAGATAGATAAGAGCAATGATGATGACAAGCATCAAGGGTCCAACCCAGAGACGCGACGACGAATTCGATCTCATTATGTAGGTCGAGTGCGGGAATCTGGGGAAAAAAGTGTTCGGAAGAGATATGATGTCGGTTAGGAACTTTTGAAAAAGCAACTGTAAATTATTCAAGCTGGCGGGTTCTTTTTCTCATTCCGCCTGATACTCTAAATAAACGGAAATTAAGATGGGATTCTGGGAACGTCTGGGAAAGTATAAATAGTTTTTTTTCAACTTTTTATGACTTCAAATATGAAATTTCTAACTAAAATGTTTCTAAGAAGGGCCCAAAACTACTGCATAAGTGATCTACCGCAAACACTCTATTAGAAGGTCACCCAATACTTGCACTTTGAGCTTATATATCTCAGTTCCTGTGAAAGATATCAAAAAGTGGCCAACTGATAAAGTGTTTATCATAAAATTAGAAGTATTCTGTCAGATGATCATTTTTTTTAATATCTTTCAAAGGAACCAAGATAAATTGGATCAAAGTTAAAAGTTAGGGGTGGCGTTCTATTACTGTATGTTAACTGTAAGAAACGATAATTTTATACTGAGTGATTGTTTCACTATTTTTGTAATCGCAAAACAGGTACAGTTATCAGTGTAAAGTTAAGAATTCTGAACTATTTTTTTCCGGTTGGGTTTAATTTTTATTTCACATAAAAAAGGAGTTTGCAAACGAAGAACAGAGAATCTGAACAGACGACTGGGAGAGATGGAAACTCGTGGTTTTGAGGGATACGTGTCAAAAGAAATCCTGTTAGTTTTTGAGCCACTCAGATGTCATGGAGAAGCACGCATAACCTTTTGTTTTGACATTTGCGAGAAAGTGACAGAAAGCTCTTCAAGAAATCTAGATGGTTAATGGTGTAGTTTCAAAACTCCCAAATTTTCCATTTCTTCGTTTATCAGCATTTCTTCTTATCAGTTACAATCGAAAATAAAAATCTGTCTCTTCTGATCATGTGTTTTCTCATTTTTCAACTTTCCTCTTTTCGAATTTCGAAGCTCACCTCGGATTTCGTCGCCGCGCGTCAAGCGAAAGGAAGAATGTGGTTATGATGATGTTTTCGGACGAGAGTTTGGAAAAACTCTGAAAAACACACAATTCGAAGAAAAGTTTGGTAAAAAGCGGTTTAGTGACGGGGGAGAAATGGGGAGGCCGGAGTTGGGGTGCCCGAGAGGAAACGGAGGAAAAAAATAGAAGAAGAAAAGAAAAAAAGAAGAAGAAGAAGAACAACGGGAAAGGCGAAGAAAAACGAGCTCATCGAGGGATTAGAGGAGCATGAGAGACATAGAGAAAGAGATGGAGAGCAAAAAGAGAGATAAAGAGCAAACATCAGATGGATGGAGAGAAAAGTCACAGTAAGCAGTAATGAAAACGTGGTTTTTTCACTTCTTTCTCTATTTGAAGAAGGTAAAGGTCACTCTATGTTTAACTCCTTCAAAATCGAAACAAAAAGAGCTCCTTTATCGTCTTTTTATCAAAAAATGAGATGATAGGAAAGTGCCGATATCATTGAGATGATTTTTGAAAAAATAAAATTAAAAGAAAATAGGATGAACTGGTCATCCTGCATTACAGTTTCCAATTATTGATAACACTTTCATTTTCGACAGGTTTTTCGGTCGCGGAACTGAAATATGACGTCTTTTAGGTAATGGATAATGGACGAAGAAAAAAGAACAGAAATTGAAGAAAAACAATAAGAAGAGACAGAGGAAGAGAAGAAATGGGGAAAAAGTTTGAAGAAAGTTTTCGTGTGGTTTCGGTTCGAAGTTGGGTTCCAAATTGAATTTGGAGTATGGACGAAAAGATGGAAGAGCTTTGAAGAAAAGAATAGAGTTCCTGAAAAAAAAACGTTTGGGAAGAATTTCAATTTTCGAAGAAACATACTTTTGGAAAAAAAAGTTCAGCCATACTGGATAGTTTGGTACAAATAAAATGTTATATCAAAAATGTTAAAGCAAAAAATGGAAAAAAAACATATTGACTGAGAATGACCAGAAAAATCCCCGTCTTTCGAAATGAGAGTGGATCTCCAGAATAGAGGGAGATTCCCTAGTCTCAAAACAAAGCAGAATTCAAATATAGCCCCCATCTCTATGCAAGTATAGCCCCCCAAAATGAACCATAGTAGAGCCCCCCCCCCCCCAACAATCTAGACACTTGCAGCAGTTCAAAAAAAGCCCCCCCCCCCCCCACCAATTCAAATATAGACACCCACTTTTGCGTAGTTTGTGGTGTGTGAAGGGTACCGTAACCGTCATGATGCAAATTTTGAGCTTTCTTTAAACATTTTTCTTTGATTTTTTCCGAATTTGTGACATTTTTTACCATTTTTCCTTGTTTCTAGGGAACTTTTTCTGAAAACACTTTTCAGCTATGTATGTATATCCTATCACAACTTCCCAAAATAAGACATTCCAAAATTAAGGCTTACGCCCAAACATGGTGGGGACCTATTTTTGAATTGGCGGGGGTCTAAAATTGAATGGGTGTGGGGGCTATTTTTGAATTGGCGGGGGGGGGGGGGCCTTTTTTAATTAAATTGGGGGGGGCCTCATATAATTTTCTCTTTTT